CCCCAAAACCCCAAAACCCCAAAACCCCAAAACCCCTATAACCTCCGAGGAATGGAAAATTATAATCTTTAACGGTTGAATTTTAAAAATGCAGAAAAAGCAAGAACTTAAGCAGCTTAGCTTAAAGTTTGCCAAAAGTAGAATTTCTAATAACATCAAGAATATTAGTTATAAATCCAGAAGAGATGAAAGTACGTCAAGTCCTTTACCGATCTAAATTTAATAAAAAGTGTTCTAACCGAAATCTGACTTGATTATAGTGAAACTTGCCAAAGAAGCCTCCGAGTCAGAAACGAAGAGAGGTACTAAACGTAGCCTGTACAAGAGAATGAGGATTGAGAGATACAAAAACACTCAAAATGTTTCCACTGAAATATCTCTTTCTAATGAAAGTAAATAAAATTCTTGGAAGGGAAAAGCCGTTTGATAATTCTGTACACAAAAGAACTCGCGGACGCAGAAAAATCCACAGAGAAGACATCCAAATCCTTGAGGACAAAATTAAGCAACTCGATAGAGAAATCCTGATGACCGAGAAGATCCGGAATGAATTCCAAAGATTTAATTCATGCTCTGGACAAGAAACTGAGATCTCTGAGGACCATAATAGCTTCCAAACTCCGTGCCAAGAACGTAAATCCATGCCTGTTGGGAATGTTAAAAACACTCTTGGTCATATTCGAGGGCTGATCACACACATGGTTGATTTGGTCAACCAAGATCCTAACACAGACTCGAGTTTGAGCAAGGAGCTCTCAAATCTTGTCAAGATGAAACACAAAATAAAAATTGAGGATACTCCTAAAGTAGTCAAAAGCATAAAAGCCATATTCCGGGACACCTCAGTTGCACTGGAAGATTCTGAAGACCTAAACCCTATTGAAAAGAAGCTCAAAAAGAAGCGGTCTCAAAGTAAGATTGAGTATTGCAGAAAGGAGAATTTGTACCCAAAACGTAAAAAGGTATGGAAGGAAGACCTTGAATATTACCACCATCTTGGGAACAACAATCACAAAAACTTCTCTTTCTCATTCAAAAGACAGAAGACAGTTGACCGAGATAGTGGGGACACCCATTCAGAAGGCGAAGAATCGCATCACAAGAGTGTTTTTAGTGTATCTAAGCGAGTTTCTCCTCGTGTGAATCCCTTCTGATCCCCAAACACTCTCGAATCAATGACTTAGATTTAATCTCTAACCTAGTCAACTTAAAATATCTGGATTAATTCAACTATAAGATTATTTGTTGGGGTTTTGGGGTTTTGGGGTTTTGGGGTTTTGGGGTTTTGGGGTTTTGGGGTTTTGGG